ATTAAGCAAGAATCTATTAGACTGAAGTAGGTTTCAGAAAGCCTGTGTCAAAATGTTGCAAAGTGTTCTCCTATAAAAGAGATTTATTGACTGATGATCTCATATGACGTATCTCTGCATCCCAAGTTTGACGAATACTGAACAATAAACCTATTTTGTCTCAATACTGGCTTAACTTCATTAGTCTTAAATCAAAAATATTGCAAAACAGTAGCCTATAAAACATGATTAATGGACAGTGTTGTAATGTGATGCCTTGGTATTGATTATCTGCTGGGTAATGAAAAGGTATGGGAATTTTATAGGATTATCTGAAACTCCCTTTAATCAATGAAACCACTAATTACCCATAATCCCGAGATTTAAAGATTAACTGTCTAAACACTCAATTTGAATAACAAAGCAGCATATTGTCCCTACATCTGGCTCCTGGCGTGCTGTAGCAGTGTGCTGTGGCGTGGGGTATTGATTGGGTTTGGTTTTACATTACAATCCTTTCCTGATGTAGTAATTAAAAGCACACATTTTGTATCGGTGCCGCAATATAAATTAATGTTAAGATATATTTTAATTACGGATAAGGCACACACATTTTTCTCCAGATCTTGAGAATTAAAGTCCACAGGTTAAAGGTCCTATATTACCCAAAATTGACTTGTGAGCTTTAAAGGGACAGTGCGGAATTTTGGACATAGGACCTGATTTTCTAGTGAGCCAGAGTGTTGGAGACGTGTGGAGACACTTTTTAAAATATTCCATCCAGTCACTGCCACTAAAAACAGTCTTACCCAGTCCACAAAGCACCAGAAGCAAATCTATTATTACGCCAGACTGCCGATGTGAATGTCTGTGTTGATAGAATAATGTTTGAAATAAAACTAACCTTGCATCACATGAATCGTAGCATGTTGAGGGACTATTTTCTCAACAGCAGTGGAATTTTACTTCGCCTGTAAGATAGGTGCCAGGTGATATCAACACCAGTGACCTCTGCAAATACAAGGACTGGATGGAATATTTAAAAAAGTGTCTCCACACATCTCCAACATTCTGGCTCACTGAGAAATGAGGTCCTATGTACGAAATTCTGGACTGTCCCTTTAAGCCACGTTAGAATATTGTTACCTTATCAAAAACTTACCTGGAGTTGTGTTTGAGTAATCCCGCTTTATTACTCTGTCCTCAAAATACTGTCATGGAGTGGTAGTTTTCAATTTAACAGCTACCCTTTTCGCTTTAGTTCAGAATAAATTTGAAATTCCAGGGCAGGATTTATCCAAATGGTTCTAGTGAAAGTATATGGAGTTTAAAAACACACACACTTCCTGTATTACCACATGACATCACATCAAGATAAAAAAGTGTTTTGAGAAAAGACCTCAGCCTAAATATGCAGGGTTTGTGTGTTAAACATGTGTGAATTAAGCAAAACACAACTCCCGGTATGTTTGTGATATAACTTAGATTAAAAAATAATCAAATATGAGCCCTTATTTTTAACAGAATATATGTAAATGTTTCAAATAATTGTAATTTCATATGAGCTAGAATATCACAATTACACATTTTGTTTATTTGCCATGTTTCTATCTATCCTCCTTACAATGCAATAATGTCCATTTAATGCAGAAAGAAAGTGAAAGGATATATTAAAAATGCAATATTACAAGTTCCTAGTGCACTGGTCCTATTTCATAATGGTGAATATTAAGTACACTGACTTTTAGAGGCTGCTTTTTAACCACAAAACCCTGAACCTCTCTCTGGAGTCCTTTCACCGGTCGTACTCAATGACCTTGCAGCATCTGAATTTGAATACACTTTTGTTGCTTATAATTACATGTTCATTATCAAAGTGTCTAGCCTCATTTTCACTTTCCAATTTGGCTGTTTGTGGTTTGAGCAGGACTGGGGAGCCAGAGCCAAGACAAAGTGTGATGTGAAGCAAAAACAGGCGTGAACCCCTCCAGCGATGGGCTCACTAGGGCTGAACAAGCTCAGATTATCCATGTCACTGCAACCCAAAATGAGACTGGAGATTTGCTATGTATCTGACAGAGAGGGGTATGTACAGCATTACTACGAGTCCATCGACCAATAGGGTTTGACCACAAGAAAGCCCTGACAACAAGAAATGCATGTCTGAGGCTGATCCGGCCAGAGCTATTAAAATAAATCTGAAAATGACTTACAGTGATCAGGCAGGCACTGCAAAAAGCAATATCTTTTCTCAAGTCAAGCTACATTTGAGTTTATTTCTTATTTTAAGAGCCAAGAGTTATGTTCTTATCTTAAAGGATGCTATGCAACTTTTTGATTGTGTGTCCATCACCTACTCATTCTGTATGTCATTGCTCTGCCTGGAATGCTCCACAGTATGACATTAAACAGCTCTACCTTTCATTTATTCAAATACAGTTTTTAGCTCAAAAATACCTAAAAACAGGCATTCTGACTATGAGCGGGGTCGCCTCTCCACAGATCTGACCTGTAACTTGATCTGATTTGGTCTCCATGAATATAGAAAGGTTTAATGCCATACTGTGAAACATTTCAGACAAAGCATTAACATCTCCATGAAGAAAAGCGTTTAATGGACTCTCCACCGGAAATGTTAGATAATGCACCTTTAAGTGTGGCCAGATGTGTTTTCATATTTTAACTACAAAAAGTCTTGTTCCATTTTAGATTATTTTACTTGTTAAGTGAAATTTATTCAAATTATGAACTTTCATAATTCAGATGATTAATAATTAAAAGTTAGAATTAAATTATAAAAGTTATGGCTAGATTTTAGCTTATGCAGTGTAGCATTAAATACTGTAAGTAAGGACTTATATATATATATATATATATATATAGCTCTTTTTACAGACATGTATGTCACAAAGACGCTTTACAGATCATTATTCATTCTCTCCATACACGGTGGTATAAGTACTATTGTAGCCACCCCAACCCTGGGGCAGATTGAAGGAAGAGTGGCTGCTGATCTGCACCATCAGCCCATCCGACCACCATCACTCATGCACACACCACTTTTATACTACCAAACTATACTCATACTATATAGGACAGCTATACAGTATATACAGCCCAAGTATTTGCAGCCTTCAGTCCATCAGAAACAGCTTTAACTTCAGTAACAGCATCACTCCGTGTAACAGCTTGTACTTATTTGAGACACTTCTGAGCACTGCCGATCAGGACCAGCCCACAGGAGCTGTTTTGGAGATGTATTGAGCAAATAATGTATCACATAATTTGTCTGATATAGTGACATTCTAATTAGGCCTAGCTTCTTTGTAATTCTTAAAAATTGATGTCCAGATGTTCACTTCTGCCAAAACGAACACTCAGGTGCATATTAAAAAGGCAGAGAGTGAGGTACAAAATGTAATCTGTCTATTGGAGGGTCCGGCACCTGCTTGTCACCATGGACACATGTTAATGCATTTCCTGAAATTTTCCACAGTATGGCATTAAATTTGTTTATATCATATTAACAAGTAAGAGACATCACTAGGCCAAGTTAGATGTCAGAGGCAAGCCCACTAACAGTGATAGCCAAATGCATTGTTTCCCAAAGACTGGTTCAAGATTGATTTATTTTTTTTTGGGTTGCTTTGTCACGATCTACATGTAGGTCTGGAATATACAGTTGTTTACATGGATCTGTGACCTTATCGTCATTCTGGACAAGCATTTTGTCAGAATATCCTGTCCTCAGTAGGGCCAGTATTGCTATGTGTATTCCTTTCACTACTACATACATGTGTGAATTGGGATTTTCTGTCCTCACAAAAATGAAGACAAAGCACAAAAACAGACTGAATGCTGTGCTTGATATGTGTGTTGCGCTCTCCTCCTGCACCCTGGACTGGAACACGATACAAAACACAGAGAGGCCAGCCTATCTCATTAGAAATGTTGAAATGTTAAGACATGTTTTGTATAATTTCTAATGTTTTTGTAATTATTTTATTGACTATTTTGTTCCAGTGTTGCTGGTTCAGTTGAGTGTTGAAAAGAAAAAGAAATGGGCTACATTTATCGTCCAGATAGGCAACTTCTGGATCCTTTTATTGCTACTTCAATTACTGTTTTTTCATTGCTTAAAACTTGAGTAATACTAATTGTTCAGAGACACGATCACTCAGTCAACAATAAAATATCCTCATTAATGTTCGATAATGGTCAAATCCACCTTTATTTTGTGATTTACGAATAATGTCTATTGACTTGGGACGTGAAAGTTTGTAAGTTTTAAAATATGGGTCCCCAGAAAAAATGTTTGGGAAACATTGGCCTAATGGATGTTGTTCAAGGTATTTTTGACCAATAAAAAAAAGAAAGACATAGAAAGCAATAATAGCTCTTTAGAGAAAAGCCCCTTCCATCAAAAAGTTACCTAATGCACCTTTAAGTTTTGCGAGTTTTTTTTTTTATTTAATCATAATTCATACATGCAGTTGTAGCCTGTAGCCACTACAAAGGCAATATTACTGAAAAGATACAAGCTGTGACCCAATCAATGCAAATGAATGGGATGCTCTCTTCACTGTTTACTGTGAGGAGAGCTGGGCGGACAGATAACTGGAGTGGCATAATGCACTGTTTACCATGTTCGGGTTTAATTACATTGTGTCAACGAGCTGCTAATGCGCGCCTCTGCATGCACGACAACGGCACGTATTTTTAGCATAATATATCGCCTTTAGACTGCCGGTTATCACACTTCAGGATCATCATTTTGAGCGGGAAAACTTTGCACTTAACATTAATTAGCCACGAGTTGCAATACACATACTTAGTGGAGTAGCAGTTTCAATCAAACATGTAAATATACGGTAGGCACAGGGCAGGATTTTTTCTACAGAGAAGTGCTTTTCGGACGTGGCTCTGATTGGTCCGCTCGTCTCAAGTGGGCGGGGTTTGCGTTTGTGGGCGTTTCACAAAACCAAAGCGCACACAAGCGGCGTATTCATTCACTACGGATCTGTCGGAGTGACTACACCTTACACGAGTTTTATCTCTCTGTTTAACTACTAATGTTTTGACGTTTTTTCTGTCGTGCGTCCAAGCTCTTTCGGTTGCATCCCATTGAGTTTTGCACGCTTTTGCTTTTGTGTTTCTTTTTGTCGTCGATTTTTGCTGCGCAGTTTACTTACCAGAGTTGTGCACTGACTGGTCTCCTTTGCAAGCTCCCGTCGCTCTCCTGCACCGCCACTATGGATTTGCTTTGGATAGCGGGCTGCCTTCTGAGCATTTGTGCGTGGTGTGCGTCAACGGAGCGACACAGCGTCTACTGGAACAGCACCAACCCAAAGTATGTAAAAATATCACCGTGCGTCTCTTTCTTTTCTCTCTCCTAGTGAATTAAAGCGTGCAAGACTTCAACAAATTTACTCGTTTTGCGGATTCACTGAGTTGCATTTGAAAAAGCGCTTATTTTATTCCGTAGGAGTCAAATAAACGCAATGCACATTCACCATGTTGAAATTTGTAATGGTAACAAGTAGCGTCTGTTGTAATGATAATCTTAAAGCCAGTTGGGAGTCTTTCTCGCCCTCCCCCCTTTCCCTTATCTCCTCTCCAACCTGTTATTACGCAGCACTGTTTACCTGCGGCTCTCCTCTTACCTGGCCGCTTTAGTCAAGGCAAGGCACTCATTTCTAAACCAGATTTGGAAACTAGTCGCAACGCGCTTTGGAAAGACCTACTGGCACAACTTGGCGCACAGAGTTAAATCAGCACAGGAAGCACCGTGTGAGGCAAGTAAGGTGGATTAGCCTGGCCAGCACTGATTCTAGGTTATTTGGTCAATTAACTATGCTTAAACTAGATTAAATTAAGTTGCTATTAGAAGAAATTACATTGTCAACTGGATTTACGTAGGCATACATATTTTTATATCATGATATTTTAAACCAATTCACACTTTTGGATGTAGATAATCAAGTTGGTACAGTGTTTGTCCTCTGATCTGAAGGTTGATGGTTTACATCCTGCGCTCGACATAAACATTTTTGGTAAAATGGCCAAACCCACTGGCCCACAGGTTGACAGTGCATTGCCAGCTCCTACAGATGAATGCTGTCGTTGTGTCCTCGGGCAAGACACTTAACCCCAGTGTGTGTGTACGCTGGTGTGTGAATGAATATGTTAATGGGTGAGAGGTTCTAGTGCTTCTAGTGCCTTGAAGGTGGAAAAGCGCTGACTATTTACCATATAAATTGATGGATTTCTCAGTGTTTTATGTGAGGGAAAAATGTGAACTTTGATTTCCAGAGCAGAAAATTTGGATCACATTGTAAAGTAAATGTTATGTTTATCTCTGAATCCTTTCGAGCCATTAATTACCGCCTGGCTAACTCCAAGTCCCATTAGTATAGATGGAAAAGCTCAAATAGAGGTTGATAGCAGTTGTTTTCATTCATCAGCACCAAACCTACAGGGAATACTTCAGTGTTGTTTTTACCAGCCACTTTAGACTGTGCTGAAATCTCTTTTGCAATCACCTCCCCATCTGACATCACATTTTCAGCCCTGTATGACCGTGCCGGAGAGAGACTCGGAGTGCGCCTCTTAAATCACCCGGAGATGGCGTGGGGGGGCGTGGGGGTTCGCCTTGGCCGTCATGAGGACATAGTGGTGGTCATATATCACACTGCCGAGACAAGTAATAATGTTTGGTGACAGAGACTGAGGAGGTAACTTGAAGCCAGCGCAGTAGGTCAGACGCATCCACAAGAGAGACCCAGAGAGACAGATAGAGAGAGGAAACATGAGAGCTGGAAATTACAAGATTGTTAAATGTGAAGGGTCACGCGGAATAACTTGGGGTCACTGAGAATTACTGTTAAAGGTCCTTGACTCTTATGAGCTTTAAGCCATGTTATGATGTTACTTCATCAAAAATGTACCCGAAATTGTGTTTTGGTTCATTTACAGATGTTTGGGTAACCCTTTATTATTAGGGTGTCTACATCTCCAGAGCCTGATATGCTCTGTTTCACTGTGATGTCATGTAGTGGTAGCTTTAAAGTTAACAGCTACATCTTACCTTTTGTTCAGTAGAGATTGACAATAACTAGGGATATAACAATAACCGAAATATCGTGATATCATATCGTCAAAGGTCTGACAATAATATTGTGGATCATCAATACAGAACTACCTAAACACAGGCATTCTGACTGTGAGCGGGGTCGCCTCTCCACAGATCTGACCTGTAAACAATATATCGAATTACAAGTCGCTTTGCTTAAATTAAGAGTTGGTGCAGAAATAGCTAAAAAAAAGACAGAAGTACATAGACCATGATCCTTTGTTCCATTTCAGTGTAGACTACATGAAAAAATAACAGTTCTAAGCACTTTTAAGTCTTAGTTCTTTGAATTAAGTCTTTTCAAAGCATTTTAAGAGGAAAAAGTAGCATATTGCAGTTTTGTTGGCCTCCACTAAATATCGCAATAAATATACTGTGAGATGTATAGAGTGAAAATATCGTACCGAGAGAAATTCGGATATTGTTACATCCCTAATCATGAGCCTCTCTATCATATCGCAAGCTTTCCCATGATATTGCAATAAATATCGTCTCGTGAGGTTCATACCATGACGATATCGTATAATGAGACTTGGATATCGTTAAACCCCTAACAATTACAGGGCTGAAATCATCCAAATAATTTAAGTGAAATCACAGTGGAGCACGTTCTGTATTACCACATGACATCACAAGGTGTGGAAGTAAATACGCAGAGTTTGTGTTAAACTTGTGTGAATGAAACAAAACACAACTCCAAATATGTAAACATGATCAGTAAATGGCGTAATACGGGCGCTTTAATAATAGCTGGGGTGAAATAGTTACAGTGCACAGTGGGTTATAGGTTTACACATGCAAAGAGTAGGCAAGCCCTGACAGGACTGTTGGCCATAAGTCAATATGCAACATCACACCAACCTCATCAATCAATCATTCCAGGGTCAATATTTGCATTGCATTGTTCTAGTACTTTCTGCGTTGGTGTCTGTTTGAAATGTTTTCAATTATTGTGCTTATAAGATTTATACGAGAAAAGATATGCCAATCTACCAGGTCCATTGACTTAGAATTAGTAAAATAGGCAGTTTTACAAGTAGTATTTGCAGTCTTGGTAGTGGCAATTTCTCTTTTTTGTTTGGCTTTCTTCCGAGTACCAAAAGATGTAAAACCAGGTCTTTAACTGGATTATTTTAGGTTCAAACCAGGGCTAAATGTGGTGTAAAATAGGGCTTAAATTTGACATCTAGTTTTAAAGAGTCAAAATGTGGATTAAATTGACTTAAATTCAGCAAATTACAGAGGAATCCCGTACACCACTACTACAGAACCACCAGTTTTTTTTTTGCAGTAATAAAGACAGAAAATTTGAGCACGTTCTCATACAGGGATGTAGGTTTATTTAAAAATACAATGACTTTTCAAACCCACCCACTCCATCTTAGTCTGTCAATCAATGTCAGACCAGTACACATACGTCAACCCAAGGCTTTATGTATTAATATTCCCCCTTCGGCTTCTAACAGTTTGAAAATGTCACTTCTCAGAAATAATTACGATGACAAAGCTTTTTTTTTTATTTTACGTCAAATGAAATGAAGTGGTGGATGCTGAGATTGTAAATAGTGTTAATCCCTCTTTTTCAGTTCTCTGGAGATGACTGCTAAATCAGACCCTTTGGCTACTCTTAATCCTTCGTAGAAAAAGCCAAGTTTCTCTGTTTTTCATTTGTTGTTGTGACCTATTTCATGCTCATATGTTATTGCGCAGACTGCCAACATTGTTCCATGATCCTCCGTTTGTTGCTGTTAATAGTATTGATCTCATATTGATTTTGATGTTTTGTGTGCATTGTGTAACTTTTCCAGTGGAGGGTTCGTCAAATGCTTTTCTTCATGGAAATGTCATTGCTTTGTCTGGAATCTTTCACAGTATGATGTTAAACCTTTCTATCTTCATGGAGACCAAACCAGACAAAGTTACAGGTCACGTCTGTGGAGAGGTGACCCCGCTCAAGGTCAGAACGCTTGTTTTTCTAGGTATTTTTGAGCTATAAAACCACTTGTAATCAAATACATGTAAAGTAGAGCAGTTTAATGTCATACTGTGGAACATTCAAGCGGAGCATTTGCGTACATTTCCAAAGAAACAAGCAGGTCACGGACTCCCAACCAAAAAGTTATAGTTCACCTTTAAAGGGTAAAGTAACACGTGTTAGTTCATACATAAACATGCAGATCCTACTGAGTACTGACTCATGCCTGTGTGCCCCAAGGCTTCCTGACTGTAAAGGTCATCCAAGTCTATTTAATTTAGTAGAAACTCACCAAATTAACTTTTACCAAGGCCCTGAGCAAAGCCAAGATATATTTTTACAACCATCTGCTTCCCAATTACACTTGTCACTGTTTCAAACTTGATTTCCATACTAAGAAAGACTGGATTTTAATACCATAAAATCTCATAAATCATAATAATGTATATGATTTAAAGGTGTGTTGTGTAATTTTTCTGGTGGAGGTTCCATCACCTGCTTGTTTCTACATCTCTACCTTACCTTTATTCAGTTACAGGTGGTTTTATAGCTCAAACATGCCTAGTAAAACAGACATTCTGACCTTGAGCGGGGTCGCCTCTCCACAGATCTGACCTGTAACTTTGTTTGGTTTCCATTGAGAAAAACAGTTGACAACATTTGAACAGAAAATAATAATTCATTTTCATATTGCTGTTTCATATTCATACCTGATGACCTTGTAAAACTTCAAGAAAAGTTTTATTTAAAGATAGCACTTCTTTAAATGAGTCTACAGCTTTGTTTTTGTATCAGTTCTTTTTTCCTGAGCATTGATTTTATTCATTTTTTGATAATCTTACTCCTCAATGTGCAGTAATTTACATTGACCTGTTTTATATCAGATGCCCCGACACCTTTTATCCACACTTGGAACTGGCAAAACTCACTTCTGGCTTTTGTTATCAACTTCAATAATGAAATGGAGAAGTCCGCCCTCCCCAAATGCACAATACTCGAGCATTACTCTTCTTCAAACAAATTACACATGACTTATAGCTCCCTGGATAGCGCAGCTTACTTAACTGTTGAAAACTCCCTCCCCAATTCCACAGAAAGTACCCTCTATGCAATCCTATACACTTTGAAAACCCCATTGGAACTTCAGTGTGTATAATGAAAGCTATATTTCAAAATAACCTCGATTGGGAATCTTTATTGGAACCAGAAATGTTATAAATTTGCAGCAGGATTCCCAGAAGGA